GGAAGTCAGGCCATTTGCGTCCAACGAGCTGAGGAGGCTGTGTGAAGGAAAGGACAGGCGTAGCTCTGGCGGGGCCATGGTGAAGCCCTCAGCTGCTACCTGGAAAGCTGAAAGGTCAGCCATTCGAAACCACCAGCCGTTCTGTGGGAGGTAAGAGCTGGCGAGGTGCTCCTATACAAATGACAGCTTCCTGTCACCACCTGCCCTGCTGCTGGGCGAGACCAGGGGTTGGGGGTTGGGTAAAGGCACAAGAGCAGTGCCACCCTGTCCATGTCTTTCCATCGGGAAAGCGACGCCTTTTCTGGACCGTTCACTTGTACTGCCGTCAGCTTGGCTCTAACTGGGACACCTGACTCCCCTGTTGCTGTGGAGATGAGCAGGGAGTAAAATCAAGGTTCTGTTCATTATGAGAAACCGTATCCACATCTGTCCGAGGGTGATGATTAAAATGGAAAAAACAGAAAATGCAACGGGATCTAAGGTACTCTGTAATACTGAGCAGTGATTGCAACAAGGTGGAATTTGGTAGTCTTAGTCGTGAATGGCTTCCTTTTATTTTAAGTAAGCTGTTTACTTTTTCTCATCAACGAGAAGGCATGGAGGTAACTGCCTGCTGGCACTGAACCACTGGCTCAGTATGAGCAGGTCCCATCGTCACTGAGAATCCTGGCTTTTCCCTCATCACCTCAAGATTGTTGCCGAAGCTTCAGCCATTGTGCGCTCTTAAAAGACAAGAACAAAGAGCAAAGAAGCAAACAGCAGTAGATGTAGCTGTTCCTCCCCTTGGTCAGAACTGTGATGTGGCTATTGCGAGCAACAAGAGGCCGGTGGGGTGGATGGATATTTTAGACTTCCCAGCCACATCAGTAAAGGGCTGTTAAGAGAAAAGGGGTGGGGTGGGGTGTCACCTGACCTGCCACCGAATGGATTGAGTCTTATATTTGAGTTTTTAAAATCTGTTATATAGGTATCAACTGGCCTTCAGTAATGTGGAAAAAGCTCGAAACGCTTAGAATTCAACATGACTTACAGTGGTGCTGCTGCTGACAGTGGATGTACTTAGCTATGATGTAAGACAAGGAAGTGATGAATGGCTCTTTGGTGGTCATCGATCCTTATCAGACCATATTTGAAGTGTCAGCTTCCAAGTGTCATCGTCTGACGACATGTACAAGGTCAGCAAAAAAGCGAAGAGGCAGATGGACCCAGTGGCTGCAACAGTGGGCTCAATCAGGAATGATTGTGAGGATGGCGCAGGCCTGGGCGGTGCTTCCATCTAGGGTGCACGGACGTTCGGTTCGCTCTGAGTCGGAGTCAGCTGGACAGAACCTAGCAACAACAAGTGGCATGCCCTGGAGTGTTTCCTCCAGGAAAGAGAGGAGATGACACATTGGCTGGCTTCCCAGGGGCCATCACCGTGAGGAGACTCGCGGTGTGTTACAGCGAGGCTATAGGAAAGGACGTTGTTATGTTACTGAATAGAAGGCTTCTTTTGATTCTATTGGCCCACAGTTCTGAACTAAGATCCACAGCTTTTTGTGCTTAAGGCTCTCTGCAAGGAGAGCCGTGTGTCCAGTTGCAGTGCTTATGAGCGTGTGCAAGTGTCGGCTCAGCTGGGGAGCAGCAGGCCAGCTGAAGGACTGGGGGCCACTGTGATGGTGCCGCCTCCCCTGGAGCCCTCGTTTGAGATCTGCAGGACCATTTGTGAGGAACACATTTCTGTTGTCATATTTTCTTCTCACCTATTAGAAGACGGGTTTTAACTCACACCTTGGACTTTGATAGACTCGCTGTGAGTGTTGTTTGTTTGGCATCACGGAGTCTGTTCTGACTCACTGTGGCTCTAGACGCAAGAAAACAAACCACTTGTGGCCCTGTGCCTCTGTAGTTGATTCAAAGTATTTCCCTTAGCAGGCGTATCCGTTATTTACTACTGTGGAACATACTGCCCCCAAACTTGACCATCCAACAGCAAGTAGTGGCAAATAGTAAGCATAGTCATTAAGTAGGCTCGGTTTCTGAGGGTCAGAATCAGGGACCAGCTTAGCTGGGTGGCTCTTCTCTGGCTCCTGGTTCCTCGTGAGGGGCACCAGGTGGTGGCCTGGGCAGCAGACTCACAGGCTTCACTGCCTTGGAGTCCGCCCTCAGACTCCCTCCTGGGCTGGCTGCTGGTTGGGAACTGAAGCTCTCCCCACCTTTCACCCATGGGCTTCTCCCTGGACTCTGGCAGCCGGCGTGATCTGAGAGAGAGCGCAGGGTGAGAGGAAGGTGCCCAAGACGCAAACTCTGGTCTGACCGTGAAAGTAGCACAGCCTTCCTTCCGCCTTCTGCTATGGATTTCCCGGAACAGACCAACCCTGGTTAACGTGGGCTCGGACCACACACAGGCAGGAATACCTGGAGGCGGGCAGCGTTGGGGACCATCTTGGAAGCTGGCTACCACACTGAGGTGGAGGCGCTTGCTTTTTAGACTCCGGCGTGGTTAAGGATGCACCGTTGGGGTTGGGCAATGATTAGTTAGCACATCTGTTTTAACACTTTATGACTTTTGTTTTCATAGGCAGTGATCAGAAAGAGAAGCTTACAGATAATCCTCCGAGCACAGAAACAACCTAATAAGAGTGTTTCTTGTCATAGCTGAGACCAACACCCCCCCCCCACTCCTGTATTACCCCGGACTTTTCCTTCGCCATTAGGCATTGGGACCTTTGTGTGCTGGGCTTGGGGGGAAAGGCTGAGCGTCCTGTCACCCCAGATCCCGACTCCCAACCATCCCCTGGGACCCCTTGGCTTTTGTTCTCAGCCCTTTCTGGTTTATACCCTCCCAGCCTCCTGAGGCTTGCGTGGTGGAGGAGCTCCCTCGAGAGCTCCTGAGATCCCGTCCTCCTACCCTTCTGATGACTGAACGCCTGTCTGTGATTTTGTTTCCACAGATAAGAATCTGGAGAATGCTGCTGAGGCAGCGGAGCAGTTTAAATTAATCCAGGCGGCGTACGATGTGTTGAGTGACCCTCAGGAAAGAGCCTGGTGAGTCTGTCCGACTTTATTGTGTTGGGAGGGGCTGTCGGCGTCTGTCGGGCTGTAAGAAGGATGATTCAGTAAACGGTGCGGATGTGAGTAGAAGCATCTGCCGCCTACGACTCATTACGTAAAGTCTGAGGCAGTGCCCTTCAGAGATAATTCCTCCACCTACCTCTTCTTATCAAGGAAGCAGGCCCTGAAAGTTAAAGCGATGTGAGCATTGCTTTGCTTTCCATACCGAAGTGACTGCCCATTAATTGGGGGTGTTGACAACTTGATTGATAATCAGACAAGAGGGATGTTGACTTTCAGGACAAGAACTGTCATAATTTCCCATGGTGCTGCTCTGTGTAAAGGAATTGAGTTGAACGTCAACATCAGTGACAAATGCTTCAATAAGGATGCTCTCTGGTCGTTAGGCACTGTTTCCAAAGAAACATCTCTTGAGTTTCAGGTCCTTGGAAAGCTTTTGGTCAAAGGAGTGAGTCGTGTGTCAGGATCCAGGCTGCTGTCAAGTCCTCCCTGTGCTCCCCGGTACAGCAGAGCAGCAGAGTGGCTGTCAGCGGAGGGCTGGCTGTCTTTCCTGCAGAAATCAGAATCAAGAGAGGTTCTTAAACGTTTTTCTACCTGACAAAGCCAAAGATCTAGCCTTAGAAATGATTTTACCTTCCTTCCAGAACTTTGAAAATCTTCTCCGATCCACCTTCGGCTCTTGTCTCTCTTCTGGCTTTCTGGTGGTTTTCTTGTTCCAAGGATTCCCTTGTCTTGAGTTTGGCCTGTTAACTCTTATTATCTGGATGGTAGCACCCAAGAACCTGATCTTCCCAGAGCTGGTGCGGAATTTTGACTTTCCCGGCTGTATGATGATGATACTTCACCTCAGGTGTCTGAGCTTCGATTTTGTACTCCACCAAATAGGGATAGTAGCTCCTTTTTAGGTGTTAAGATGAGTACTTGAGACAGTGTGTGCGTCAGCCCCTGGGGCAGGGAAAGGAAATGGTGGGTATCTCTATGTTTGCAGTTGATCATGGAGGTAGGCTCTGTGTCAGCTGTACCCAGGAAATACTGAGAAATGACAAATTGGAAGTATCAATAAAACAAATCAGCCTCTGTTTTACCATTGCTTTAGTTTATCAGTTCAGAATTCTGTATATTAAAGTTCATATGAATGTAGGAAGAATTTACTTCTGGTGTCTGCCGGCAGATCCCTGGACTTGAAGCGTACAGCTATCCACTGTCTAGTGCTGTCTGACTTGGTTCTCCTTAGTGAGGTTCTTCCCACTCCCATGGAAATGCACCCTCTTTTCCGGGAGAGGCTGGGAAAGGCTCTGGCTTCTTAAATTCCTCTGTCATGTGGACTGGCAGTGCCTGCTGACTCTAGGCTATTAGAAATGGCAGCCACTGCATGGTGGCTCTGCAGCTCTGTGAAGGATTGCTCAGTCTTTTCTCCTTGGTCTTGTCCTTGGACACCTTGAGAGGCACCAGGATAATGCTTTGGTTGTTCACAGGGAAGAGTCCCGTGGCCCTCCCTGAAGAGGCTGTGTCTGTTTCAGGTATGACAATCACAGAGAGGCCCTGCTCAAAGGTGGCCTTGATGGCGAGTACCAAGACGACAGCTTAGATTTGCTGCACTATTTCACTGTGACCTGTTACTCCGGCTATGGAGATGACGAGAAGGTAAGAGAAGGGAGCTCGCGCTTAGCTTCTTGCCAAGCTCAAAGGAAGGCGCTGCCAGGCATTGAGGACTCTGAAAATTTAATTGTTCCCCGGTGGAACACGACACAGAGTTGCTTTACAGAGGGGAAATAATTTTTTTAAAAACCCACCTTTGGACAAGGGAACAACAAGTGATCCAAATTGGTGGTGAGGTGGGTGTGGGAGACCTGGTAGGGCATGATCAAGGGGGATGTAACAAAGAGGAAGTGCTGAAACCCTGGTGGGGACTGAGCATGATAGTGGGACAGGAGGAAGGTCAAGGGAAATAGAGGAAAGAGCTGGGAGGTAAAGGGCGTTTATAGAGGTCTAGATAAAGACATGTACATAGATCTATGTGCCTATATTTATAGGTTTAGTATTAAGGTAGCAGGAGGACATTGGGCCTCCACTCAAGTACTCCCTCAATGCAAGAATACTTTCTATTAAATTGGCATTCTATGATGCTCACCTTCCCAACACAACCGCTAAAGACAAAGCGGGTGAATAAGCAAATGTGGCGAATAAAGCTGATGGTGCTCGGCTATCAAAAGATATAGCGTCTTAAGATATGGGGTCTTAAAAACTTGAAGGTAAACAGGCGGTCATCTAGCTCATAAGCAACAAAGCCTACATGGAAGAACATATCAGCCTGTGTGATCACGAAGTTTTGAAGGGATCACTGTAGACAAATGGGTGCATAAGCAAATGTAGCGAAGAAAGCTGATGGTGCCCTGCTATCAAAAAGTATAGCATCTGGGGTCTTAAAGGCTTGAAGGTAAACAGCCGGCCATCAAGCTCAGAAGCAACAAAGCCCACATGGAAGAAGCACACCAGCCTGTGCGATCACGAGGTGTCAAAGGGATCAGGTATAAGGCATCATCAGAACAAAAAATCTTACCATAGTGAATGGTGGGGGGAGTGCGGAGTGGAGACCCAAAGCCCATTAGTAGGCCACTGGAGATCCCCTTGCAGAGGGGTCTTGGGGAGGAGACGAGCCAGTCAGGGTGTGATGTAGCAACGATGAAAAATACAACTTTCCTCTAGTTCCTAAATGCTTCCTCCCCGCCCCCACTATCATTATCCGAATTCGACCTTGCAAGTCTGGCTAGACCAGAGGATGTACACTGGTACAGAGAGGAACTGGAAATACAAGGGCATCCAGGGTGGATGATCCCTTCAGGACCAGTGGTGTGAGTGGCGATTCTGGGAGGCTTAGAGGGAGAGTGGGTAGGAAAGAGGGAACCGATTACAAGGAACTATATGTGACCTCCTCCCTGGGGGGTGGACAACAGAAAAGTGGGTGAAGGGAGATGTCGGACAGGGCAAGGTATGACAAAATAATAATTTATAAAATATCAAGGGCTCATGAGGGAGGGTGGAGCAGGGAGGGAGGGGAAAATGAGGACCTGGTGCCGGGGGCTTAAGAGAGGAAATGTTTTGAGAATGATGAGGGCAATGAATGTACAAATGTGCTTTACACAATTGATGTATGTATGGATTGTGATAAGAGTTGTATGAGCCCCTAATAAAATGATTTAAAAAAAAGAACAACAACAGAAAAAACCACCTTTGTTTTTGAGGTCCCAGCAGTAGACCTTGGTCCTGCATCTGGTCAGCAGCGAGGTATGTCATGTTGCCTTTGAACAGGTCGCCAGTGACCAGCCCTTTCGGGGATTGAGAATTTAGATTTCTGCCACTGTGTTCCAGGGTTTCTACACGGTGTATCGGAACGTGTTTGAAATGATTGCAAAGGAAGAGCTAGAATCCGTGTTAGAGGAAGACAAGGAGAATTCCCCGTCCTTTGGAGACTCTCAGAGTGACTACGACACGGTAAGAGAAAATGTGAAGGGGAGAAGAATGGCTGCTCCTTTAGGATGAGCTCTCATCAGTGCCTTTTATTTAAAACAGGACAGACAGGCAGACACGCAGGGTCGTGTCCTCAGACACCCCCTCCCTTCCTGAAAGAGTGTGGTGGGGGGGTCTCTCTCAGCCTCCCCTCTCTGCTTCCCTGATTTGAGCACGCACCCCATTGCTGTAGTCTCTGGTTCTTCTCCTTCCCTCTCTGACTCCTTTCTGGAGAGGGCCTCCTCCTGTAAAGCCCTAGAACAGTGCTTCTCAATTCTTCCTCATGCCGCGACCCTTTCATATAGTTCCTCGTGTGTGGTGACCCCCAACCATAACATAATTTTCTTTGTTACTTCATCACTGTCATTTTGCTACTGTTATAAATCGGGCGACCCCTGTGAAAAGGTCGTCCACCCCCCAGGTTGAGAACCGCTGCCTTGGAAGGGGACCGTCTTCCTCACTGACCGAGCGTTAGTTTGAAATGAGTTCAGAAAAGCTGGCAGGTGCTTTGCATCCGTAGACTCCACTGCAGAAACCCCTTTTTCCCTTCTGTGTCCGCAGGTGGTCCATCCCTTCTACGCTTATTGGCAGAGCTTCTGCACGCAGAAGAACTTCGCGTGGAAAGAGGAATACGACACGCGGCAGGCCTCCAACCGCTGGGAGAAGCGAGCCATGGAAAAGGAAAACAAAAAGATTCGGGACAAAGCGAGGAGAGAGAAGAACGAACTGGTCCGACAGCTGGTCGCTTTCATTCGGAAACGAGATAAAAGGGTGCAGGCTCACCGAAAACTGGTAGAGGAACAGAACGCCGAGAAGGCGAGGAAAGCTGAAGAGATGCGGCGGCAGCAGAAGCTGAAGCAGGCCAAGTAGGTGGTGGCGGGGCGGCTCCCCCATCTGTGGGGGGAAGGCCAGGAAACTGCATCCTTCGCTCCACAACTCTTAAAAAAAAATCCCAGCAGTGGGTGGTGTTCTCTCTGACTTTCTTTCTTTTTAAATCATTTTGTTGGGGGCTTGTACAGCTCTTATCACAATCCATACATCAATTGAATCATTCTTTTCTAGACATTTACTTTCTATTGACCCTTGGTATCAGCTTTCTAACACCTCCCCAAGACCCCCTGATATATTGTACATTGTTATTATTTTCATCTCACACCGACTACTGTCTCCCTTCCCCCATGTTTTCTGTTGTTCTTCCCTCTGTAGAGGGGTGTATGGTTATGTGTCGATCATTGAGATAGGTTCCCCCTTTCTCCCTTCCTCTCCTCTCTCCCCTCCCCTCCCCTTCTGGTATCACTATTCCTACTCCTGTTCCTGGATTCTATGTGTCGTGAGCTCCCATCCTAATCTATACCTGTGTACATGTTCCGGTCTAGTCTGAATTGAGAAGCATAACGATTTTTAAATTTTAATAGGCTGTTTAGTGTCAGGCACCCTTTGTCCCTCAGGTCCTGTCCAGACCCCTGTGGAACTGGATAACAGCTCACGTTCCTGGAGCTCCCAGTCCGTCCGAGGCCCTGTTCTCAGTGGCTTTCCTCACAGTGACTCTGAGACATGTTCCCATCTTCCTCGTTCTTGTGAGGAAAGAGGTAGGGCAGCCAGGCATAGGGTTGTTGCCTGGCCAGGAGTTCACCCAGCCCTTCTGAGATGAGAGCCATTGCTTTCAGCCACCATTGCACTTGGCTTCTTAGAGATTGCGTTTTGGCTTCTTTGAAGTTCTCCTGTGAGGAGTTACTGTAACAGCAATGTCCATCGCATTATGGCATTAAAAGAAAAAAAAAACATCTAAAAATTCTACCTGCCCCGCCTTGCATCTTGTGAAAATGAGCATGTGGCACCTTACGGTGGCCTGAAAGCCCTGCTGGTGTTGTGAGTCTGACGATGTCTTTCCAAGCCCATGATCTAGTGGAGCAGTTAGAGTCAACCCCACGAGGGCTGACAGCCTAAGTGCCCTCACCCCAGATCCAGCTCGGCCTGTAGACGTTTTCAGCTTGGGAGGATGGCGTTTTCCAGGGGGTGGAGGCGAGCCTAGCAAAGAGCAGAAGCAGCACCCAGACAGACATCCGTCGCCTCAGTGTCCCCCGTGGTGTGACCCTGCTCTTGTGTGTGCACAGGCTGGCAGAGCAGTACAAAGAGCAGAGCTGGATGACCGTGGCCAATCTGGAGAAGGAGCTCAGGGAGATGGAGGCGCGCTACGGAAAGGAGTTTGGAGATGGATCGGAGGAAGATGAGGTGGAGGAGCAAGAGCCCAGAGATGGACAGGAGGGTAAGTCTCCTGTCCTTGAGAAATGTGAGAAACTGACCAGAGCTGTGGATAGGGCCTGTGCACTCCAGAGCCTCCCGGGGCCAGTGGAGGGGCCCCAGTGTGAGGCAGCAGGGAAGCAGGCAACCCCGCAGGGCCCTGGACTCCGAGCTGGCTCTTACCAGGAGGAGAGGGGAGCCAGCGATAGTCGAGTGTCTGATCTGGTTTTAAAATCTGGGTTTTTAGGTGACAGTTTTCCACTTGGCGGGTAATTCATATTGACCACAGTACTGTCTCAGCCAGCCCAAAGTGGTCTAATGGAATAGTCTCCTTTAGGCGTGGTAACAACCCTTCCTGACCGTGTTCTATGGGCTCTGTACATATATGGACAAATAAGTGTGTGTCTCACAGGTGTGACTGACGGGCTGTTACAGGAGAAGCAATTAAGTAAGTTGTACGTTGAGTTTCAGTCGCTGTCATTTCCCGAAAAGCTGATACTGTGCTGGCGTCTGGGGTTCGGATGGTCTCCCTTTCTGGCTGTGGACTCGCTCTGCTGCACCTGCACAGGTGCTTGTCATCAGTGCACAGATCTGTGATGGGCGGAGCCCCTGCCTGCCTGATTTCCCCCACTGTCTTCAGCTCATGAGAAGTCAGGCAGAATAATCCAAGCATCGTCTGTCTGCCTTTACAAACAAGGTTTTCCAGATGAGCAGCAGAGCTTTCTGCTCCCAGGAAGATGTGCAGCCTTGGAAACTTGAAGGGGCAGTTCCACTCTGCCTTAGAGGGTCACTATGAGTCGAAATTGACTCTTAGGACAGTGAGTTTGGTTTGGTTTGGTTTAGTCCAGGCAAGAAAATGGCACACTTTCTACAGAAAATTATTAGGAAATGGTTCATTTATTAAAGCATTAGTAAATCAGAAGTGCAGTTTTGAAGTGCTTAGAAAATTATAGCCCAATGACGTGGCATTGATTCTTTGTGTCACCATATAGGACAGAGTAGAACTCCTCCACAGGGTTTCTGAGGCTATGAATCTTGACGGGAGCAGACCTCTTCATCTTTTTCCTGTGGAGTGGCTGATAGATTTGAACCGCTGATCTTGAGGTTAGCAGCCTGTAGTATTAAAAAGGGTGCAGAGGGAGGTGGGGGACCAGCCCCCACCGCTAATACTCTCTACGAGTTCAGTAAGTACAGTTGTACGGTTGAGATATATAAGTATTATATTAAAGTCATCGAGAGCATGAGAGATAATACAATACTACAGGCAGACATATTACATGGTAGCATTGCTGACCTCCTCCCCGCTTGGTGGTCCTCATGGGGGGAACCCGGCTGCCAGAGCAGGAGCCGCCTCCCTCGCGGGAGCTGCCCTCTCATCCATCGCCCTCATGGGAGCAGCCTTCACGGGAAGCAGCTCTCCTTCCTCAGCCACCCTCGGCCAGCCACCCTCGGCCAGCCACACCTCTCGAGAACCAGTGAGCCTCCTTATTTATTGCTAACCACATATCATATTACTTTAGGGGGATACATCCCAGCATCATGCATCACAGAGAGGGGCAATACAATTCACAACAACCTGCGTCATAGAGAGGGGTTGTAACATAGGCAATACAAGCAATAGGAGGGGGATGACCTAGTCATCTTAGAGTGGTCCCGGGTTTGCCTTTGGGCACTGCTTCAAGGGAACAATAACAGAAAAGAATGGGCCCTATTTGGGGTGAGTCAGACTACAGTCTGGCCGCTCTAGATGGCTGATGTTAAGGAGAATAACCTCTGACCTATTTTCGCTGCCTAATGAACAATCATTCTCAAGCAGCTAAGTCTGGTACATATTTTGGGGAGACAACTTAAGAGAAATCCTACTGTTCCTCACAGCAGCCCAACACTTAACCCACTATGCCGCCAGGGCTCCTTTGAAAATTGTAAAGCACTCTGTAAACACAAGGCAGCTTGAATATACAGAATTTCATAGTTTATCTGTTTATAATTTGTATATACACTCTTGCTTGCTCCTCAGACATTATGCGTTACATGCAGAGTTCCATCGTGTGAGGGCCTTCCTTTTACTGTCCCAGCACAGACCCAGGTGACAGATGGTCTTGGGAACATATGGCCAGTTTTCTTTTCTTTCCTCAAATCATTTTATTGGGGGATTGTAAAGCTCTTACCACAATCCATACATACGTCCATTGAGTCAAGCACATTTGTACCTTTGTTGCCATCATCATTCTCAAAACATTTTCTTTCTACTTGAGCCCTTGGTGTCAGCTCCTCATGTGGCCAGTTTTCCACCCAGTGTTCTTTATTCACGACGGCCTTAGTCAGGTTCTTAGTCGGTGCCTTCACGGTCATGTGCCCGGCTGTTAACAAAGGTTGGTGGTTCAAGCCCTTCAGCAGAAAGAGCTGGCTCTCTCTCCTCGGAGTTAAAACCCGAAACCCTGTGGGGCAGCTGGGCTCTCTCAAGCAGGGTGGCTGAGTCGGAGCTGACTTGCTGGCACACCACAGCAGCACCACCAATGATGGTGGAAGGTTGTCGGTTGCAGTCCTTTAAGAATTTCAGAGTGGGACATAGCTGTAGTTTGAAGCCAACCTTTCTCCAGAGGTGGTTCTGAAAAGTCCAACTACTTGCTTCATGGTGAGCTCTTGGTTTTCTAACGTGACCCTTGATTGTAAAACTTACTTCATCCATGGGCTGTAAGGGTTTTTGTGAAAATGAATGGCAAGGTGATCTAGTTGGATGCGTTTTCTTGGCATGCCCTGCTGCTTTAAACACTGATGTCACGGGTTGCTTTCCTGTCAGGACTAACCACTGCTTTAGTTTATGATCTGTGTACAACTTTAGTCATGACTAGACATCCATCACTTGAGGGCTCTTTATTTTTTTAAGGAAATTGGGTAGTTTATTCATTTAACAATTTTAATGCCCTTTAAGTTTATATTTTATTGAGACAGGATTCTTACTGCCTTCCTCCCTCTTGAAGGTAAGGACAGTGAAGAAGAAGAGGATACCGATCTTTTTGATGACCTTTACTGCCCAGCGTGTGACAAATCATTGTAGTTTATTCATTTAACAATTTTAATGCCCTTTAAGTTTATATTTTATTGAGACAGGATTCTTACTGCCTTCCTCCCTCTTGAAGGTAAGGACAGTGAAGAAGAAGAGGATACCGATCTTTTTGATGACCTTTACTGCCCAGCATGTGACAAATCATTCAAGACGGAGAAGGCGTATGTTTACTATTTTTTATTTAATTTATTTTAAAAAACTACTTTTATTTTTTAAAATTTTGTATTGTCGATTGGGTGAAGGCTTAGAAAGCGAGACCAGTTTTCCATGTAGTTTGTACACATTTTGTTTCATGCCATTGATGGCAGTCCCCAGAATGTAACGTGGCTCATCCCACTTTCTTCCTGGATGTAGTGGAGTCTAGAGGGGTGAGAACTTAGACAAAACCAGGAATCTGAACAATGGTCATGAGGCCTGGAGCTCAGGACCAGAGTCCCAGGGAGCACCGAGGTCAAGGCGCATGACACACACGACCTTCCTCTGCTGGGCCTGCCATGTCGCTTTGTGCCTGCTGGATGACTTGGTCACCGCAGCGTGCTCGGGCTGGCAGCCACCGTCCCGTGGCAGTCCCTCACCCCACGTTGTTGTTTCAGCATGAGGAATCATGAAAAATCAAAGAAGCACCGGGAAATGGTGGCCTTGCTGAAGCAGCAGTTGGAAGAGGAGGAGGAACAGTTTTCAGGACCACAAACGGATGAAAATGCGGGCAATGCCAATTCTGAGGACGAAGTGGACGACGTCCCCAAACAAAAGTACCTTTCAACATTAAATGCTGCTAAGTGCATTTTTCATCCCATTGAGAGATTGCTGATAAATGCAGTTTCATCCCAAAAAAGTTAGGCTGCTACGCTGATACTATCCAGTTAATGGTTAATTTTTACTGTGAAAGGAACGGGCTATAGCTGTGATGTCGAGTGAAGTCGTCAGGGGTGTTACGAGTATCAATCTGCTGCCAAAAGGCCATCGCCCTGAAGAGCCCAGGTGGCGTTTCCCGCTGTGTGTGCATTCCTGGTGGCACCATGAGCTGGCTCTGAGCTGGCATCAGCTTGACACCAGCCGGCCAGAACAGCTCTGCCATGACTTTATTAAAAGCAGCCGAATAACTGGACAGTTAGTTAATTAGCTCATGACTGTCAATTTCATTTGAGCCATTGCTAGAACTCCCAGTTGTGGTTATGTGAATATTTTCTTTTTCTTTTAATGTTTTACATTGAATGTTTCTACTAGTTTAGTGCTTTCTGTATCGCTAGTTTGGAGACCTTTTTTTCTTTTTTTTTTAACCTACTTAACTCTTACAAAGTCAAGAGTTTGACATTTTGATTTATTCCTACCCTTAGGCTTTCTAAAAAACAGAAGAAAAAGAAACAGAAGCCAGCACAGGTATGGGGAATTAGTTTTTAACTTTCAGTCATGAATGTAATAATGCATTTGAGAATAATATTTTCCTTTTTGTAGCTAGCTTTCTAAATTGCTGTTATCAGTGTGTTTTAAAATATTGCATCTGGATTTCTCATAGTATGAATTATTTGAATGACAATATTAAAAGTAGATATGCATCTGGATACATCTGATGGCAGTAAGAGCTTTTAAATCATTTGGAAAATTGTAGCCCACCGTTTTATTTTTTTTTCAATAGTTTTATTGGCATATAATTGTATAATTATATTGGCATATAATTCACATATACAATTCAGTAGTTCAGTTATGTCAAGAAGAGATGTACAACATTTAAAACATTTTCTTTCTTGTACTCATCCATTATTTGC